GGGTCAAAGCAAATTTACTGATGAATTGACATATCAAATAGATTTATATTTTTGCGGTTTCTATTTGTATAGAAAAAAAAACTATTATTCTACCAAAGTAAATAACTTTGAGACATAAAATAAAAGGAAATTTAAATACCTTTTTATATTATATGGCGGAAAATGAGCAAGGGGCTTGAACTCGCCGAAATAACAAAGCGACGTTACCAACTGCAATCGCATGCCTTGGATACCCCTTTTTTCCAGAGAGGAATGCTTTATGCATACTCCGCGCCCCGGGGGGAACGCGGTAGTTATGTGGAATTCTCCTTATCGGAGACATACCCACTCAACCACTCTGTTCCTCCAACGCATCGGGACAAACGGGCACGCTTTCGCTCTCGTCCGCGACCCTAGATACCCTTAATCGACAGAAGACGAGATGCACAGAAATATTCCACCTTATCTCTCCTCCTTTGTCAAATCCACTTCCCCTTAATATCCTTTCCTTAAAAGATAAGTGTGGGAAAAGAAAGAGTATTAGAATAAGGCCTGCGGTAGGCATACTCTTTGGGGGTAACGCGGAATTGTTTCAACTTGATGCATGTCTTTTATGTGAGGGCGAAATCCATTCGTGGAACAGATGTTAGTGGCGTCTACCACTGTTATAATGTGTTAATACCGTTAAATTTGAAGTACCTTTAACTACGTAAAAACAATTATTTTGAGTAGTTTTGACAATAATTTTGATAGTTACATGGATTTCTAAGAAAAGTACTAAATTTCTTCGCTAAAGTTATATATATTTGTATTTAAATATTGTATTTAATATGCATAGCATATTAAAGTAACATTAAAGTAAACATATGCATTTCAAAGTCAAAGTTGATCTATGTCAATTTCCAATAGACTTATGAATATTTATAAAAACGCCGGGAAATATTAAAGGGAGTGAACGGACTTTATGTTCTTGTTTACTATATTTAAGAAATAACTTGGAATTAAAAACAAACTTAATAAGTAGTCTATGTGTTCTTCCAGACTATGTTCTATACGAGTATGTATACCAAATTTCAGCGAGATCCATGCAACAGTTCTGGAGATACCTTGAAGCAAACCTTTGCGTTTACATTAGTAAGATAATCTAATATTATGTGTTTAAGGACCCACAGAAAAAAGGGTCTTGACAGACAGACGGACGGACAACAAAGTGATCCCCTAAGGGTTCCGTTTGTTTCCTTTTCAGTTACGGAACCCTAAAAACAGTAATTAATATTGATATATACAGTATCGATTGTTGGCGATATTTAAACTTTAAAGCGAAAATATTGGACGTGTTTTGCAACGCCTTGAAACGTCTAATCTAACAAGAATATTTGCGATATAAGTATTCGTAATGTTTTGTCGTGTTTTTAATTAAATAATAACATAACTGTAAATATTATAAATATACAGATCTTGTCGATATGGTCAGAGGATATCGGGGACAGAATTTACATTGAAAATGCGTTTTCAACTTTTTATAATTCAGTCAACATGATACTGAAACTTTTTAGCAGTTACTTAAGAATTTAGACCTTAATACTTCAAAACATATTAAAAAAATAATATAAAATAATATATATATTGAATAGTATAGTGCGCTACGATTTGAAACAACGGCTATGACGTCACAAAATGGCCGTCGCTCCTATATGATCGAACTATAACCTAAATAAAACTATCTCTTTACTTCCTACTAATATTATAAATGCGAACATTTAGATGGATGGTCTGTTTGAAAGTATCTTTCGAACGGCTGAACGGATCTCGATGAAATTTGGCATACATATAGAATATAGTCTGAAAGAACACATAAACTACTAATTATGTTTTTTTTTCCCGAGCGGACGGAGTTAATAAATATGAAGTCATCATCATCAGCTCACTATATGTCCCCACTGAGGCGCTCGGAGTCTACCCTATGTTAAGGGTGATTAGGCCATAGTCAATGCTGGCCCAGTGCGGGTTGACTTCATACGTCTTTGAATTTCTTCTCAGATATGTGCAGGTTGAATCACGATGTTTTCCTTCGCCGTAAATATGAACTAAATGCTACGAACATTTTAAACTTTACACTTTTAAATTTTCCAGTTCTGTGTCTATTTTGTTATCTGATGATGATGTTTTACTGTTTAACATAAAATATCTATATCCATAAGCCTCTGCCTAGAATTAGCTGTCTAATAGTGTGCATTAACATAATTTCCTTGGTGAAACTTAGACTGCCTGCTTAAGTCACTTTCTGTTTTTTACTTGTTTAACTACATACATACATTAACGAACTTTGTGTTAAAAAATGTTACCGCAATGCTTTTAGCTGATGGATTTCGCAATTTTTTTTTCCTTTAAAAAAATATGTTCAAAAATTTGTAGTTATGTACATGGCAACCTATGATATCTGCTCAAAATTAAAAAAAAAAGATAGAATAGTTCTTCATGTTAAAGTCCCGTTAAATGGTGCCAATAGTTTAAGAGAAAATATTTTCATGCAACACTTAATTTAGAAACCTAATATCAGATGCCTAATACTACTAAATAAGAATATATTCTCATCACTTTCATTCTCTTTGAAATAAACAAAGACAGCAATAGCAAGAGACTACGATTAGTCTTCAGAGTTTACAGTGTACTAATACATATTATTCATCATATCTTTGTCCTTATCCTACTCCTAAGGAACCGTATCATGTTGTCCTCTTCCAGATAGTATCTTCCGTAATTTCATTGGTGGAAATTTCGATACGATATTATTTTATTTAAACGTTCACCTTTATCAATAACGTATAAGTTGTATCACCACGTGAGTCTTTGATGCGTGTGAATATTTCGCTTTGAGCTTCAGTATTCAATTCCATATATCAGTCACTCAGAAATACATTATTCATAATATTAGAGGAATACAAATACAAAATAGAGCACTTTTTATATCAGTAGGTGGCAAACGATCGAGCGGCCACCTGAAATCGCTGATATAGCGAAGTGACCGTTGCCCATAGACATACGCAATTGCATATGCGCTGCCTACCTTTAATCGACGGAGGAGAGGATACACAGAAAGAAAATATATTCCTTCCCATCCTTTCCTTATGAGAAAAAAGCTGGGAAGGGAAAGAGTACTAAATTAGGCCTCCGGGATGCACACTCATCAGACGAAACGCGGAATAGCTTCCACTTGACGCCTGTCTTCTGTGTGGTCGTAGTATTTCACCGGGCGAGCCGGGCCAATTCGTGCAAAGATGTTACAGCGGGCTCTACCACTGTTAAAACTTGACTAGTAATCTACCGGTCCTGGGTTTGAATCCCGCCATGTATTACCCGACGTTCTGACGGTGAAAGAAAACATCGAGATGCAACATAACTAACCCAGAGGAGTAGACAGATACTACGGACTACACACATTATGTTCGCAATTTTTATTTTTTATATCACATACAGATAGTCTAATTTTATTAAGTAACGTCATAATGAGCACTCTAATAACTCATTAGTATTTTGTTATCTGTAACAAAAATCTGTACTAAACAGCAAAACACCACAATAGTTACTGTACAAGTTTCTAAACACCGCGGTCAAGTTTAAACGCACGGACTCTTGCTATTTGGGTTAATGAAATGTCAACGTGCGGTTTACTGCGCGTTCCCACTGCCACACATGTATACAAACATTGCCAACCTTTTCATTCTCTGAGAAAATAAAAATGGAAAAATACAAGCTTAACAACAGTTGAATTCCGCGGTTACTTTTTTAGTAGGTACGTTGTTTTGATCCAATTTGTTGTTATGTAACCTATCTCTTTGTTTACCGAAAAAAATGTACGATAACATATAAAAATTGATACTACAATGTAAGGATGTAACCCAGAGGGGTAGGCAGATATCATAGACTTCTCTTTGAAGCGGTTCTACACCTCTGGAAGACAATTCCTTGCTACAGCGTAATACAACTAATGATAATCATATCTTTATTCTTACTAATATTATAAATATGCATGCTTGGATGTATGGATGGATGTTCTTTAGAAGGTAACTCCAGAACTATTCAACGGGTCTCTCTGAAATTCGGCACAAATGTAGAACATAGCCAAGAAGAAACAGATAGGCTACTAAATACTTTTTTTCTAATTTAATTTATTCCCTTCCGAAAAGTCGTGGGTGATAGGTAGTAAAAACATAGAACAAAAAATTCAATTATATAAACATGAAAGTACTTACAGCTTAGAAACATCCATTTCGTGACTCTCACCAAAAAATCCGATAGTAATCGAAAGAGAAAACCAACCCAGTTCTTTTCCTTCACAATGTATCACAAACACAAAATAAATGTAATAATAATTAATATAAATCACATAAGAACACACAACACTAATGTCAGAATATCGTACTTTTATTATTTTTAATATAGAGAGATTTTGTTCCGAGCAAAGTTCCTGTGCCACTGTCACGGCCGTGGCACAGCATACGTTCTCCCACCAAACAACTTTTACCGACACAAAAAGTTGCCACGCGTGGGGACATGACACTTAAATTAATACACTAACAAAACTTATTCCAAATAATAATACTTATTTTTTCTATTAAAATGTTTAATCAGACTAGTTGAAATTAAATGGCTGCAAAAGAGGTGTGGGTCCCGAAGCGTAAATGTTCTGTCTCGCTCTAAGCGCTTGCGCAGTCATTACTACGAGATCGGAAGTCGATCGTGAGTTACGTTTAACTCGAAGTAGATTCGAATGAGTAAAAGCATATAATACCAAAATCCTTTTATCTATGGTTATGTTGTAAAACTTTATATTCGCTATATAAAGTAAGGTAGTGTCTGAAAAAAATCTGAGGCTCGTTTTAATAGTTAATCAATTATTATTTTAGAAGCATGCAGTATTAAAAAAAATGTGTAGAAACTACAAAACGTTGTATACAATTATTATTTTATTTAATATGAAAAAGATCAGATAAAAATATGAAGCATGAAAATTTATTTAGGGACTACAGGGATTATGCATTTTTTTTCTCCACCACAAAATTCAGTGTTAGGAGATAGAGAGACATTAAAGGTTTATCTGTTAAGAATTTTTCTTATTATTATGTCACTTTAATATACAGACTTTCCTAAAGAAATATAATAATATACTTTAATCTAACTGAGCCATTTATAATATAATATCTGACTTCGAGTTCTCTAAAAAATATATTCGAGTTTTGAAATTTCATTCGAGTTTCATTAGTAATGGTCTAGGTCAAACAGGTGAATGCACTTGACCGATTGCCGGCTAAGCCGGTATAAAATTGTGCGAACATAATAATGAAGAGTTGCACTTTATAGATAGACCTATTTGTACTATAACATAAATAAGTGAAGTTTCTCTCAAACGATGCAGCAATTTAGTATCGTTCTTTACGCGACTGTTAAAGGAGTGTTTTTTACGCTCATGTAAGATTCGTTTTTCTGGGTTTGTTCGTGTGTTCCTTTGTGACTTAATGCCTAAATCTATCTTCTTACTAATATTATAAATGCGAACGTTTAGATGGATGGATGTTTGTATGAAGGTATCTTCGAAATGGCTGAACGGGTCTTGCTGAAATGTAGTATAGATGTAGAGTATAGCCTGGAAGAAAAAGTAAGCTACTTTTAAGGTTTTTTTAATTCCGGAGATATATTCTAACAAACATCCATCCATCTAAACATTCGCATTTATAATATTAATAAAATGTATTTTCTTTTAAATAACATAATTAAATGAATAAAGGTTAATATATTTAAGAAACTTGAATATGAATACAAAAGGTACAGGGTGTACCGTTCTTGGAAAATCTTAAAGAAAAAGTTAATGATGTACATTCTAAAGAATGGTTGTAAGTAAAGAACTTCAAAGAAATACGAAGCAGTAAGAATCGATATCAAATGTATTATAGGATTTGTAACTTAACTTTACGTTTATATTATTTTCAATAAGTACCAATGAATTTCAGAGAAATAATACGTGTTTAATTTAAACTCTCATTTTAAAATTAATGCGTGTATAAAAAAATCAAACATACAAACAACGTAATAATAAAAGTAAAAACAGACAGATAGACGGGCAACTAAGTCATCCCATAAGGGTTCCAATTTTTTCTTTCAAGGTAGGGAACCCCAAAAAGTAAATCATCATCAGCTCACTATACGTCACCACTGAGAGGTTAGGAGCCTACCCTAAGTTAGGGTGACTGGACCATAGTCAACACTGGACCATTGCGAGTTGGTTGACTTTACACATATTTATTTTTTTTATCGCAGATACGTGTAGGTTATATCACGATGTATTCCTTCATCGTGAGAACGTCGAACAAATGTACAAATGTAAATAGAAAAACACATAAGTACATGGCAGGATTCAAACAAAGGACATACGGGTTATAAGTCAAATGTTTTAACCCCTGAGCCACCGACACTCTATGTAAAAATGTGCATAATTTTTTAAATTTGTGAAAGCACTTTTCTTCACTACTGAATATTCTGCGATTGTTTCATTAAAAATAATTCAGTAAGAAAAAGTATTACCGTATAATTTCTTTTAAGAATTTACTTTCCGGCGACTACACTTCTTAGTATAACTTAATTCCGCTAAGTAACAAGAAAGCTCGGCTCCAAAGCTTTGTGAAAAATAATCCAACGCGAGATCCTCTTCCGTTAGTATTATTTGCTAAAGGACGTGGGTTTATACGGTTAATGTATAAAACTATCTATACTTACTAATAAAGTGGAAATTGTAGTTTCGTTTGTAACGCATAAACTCAAAAACTACTGGACCGATTTCTAAAAATTCTTTTGTTATTAAGCAGCTACGTTATTACAGAGCGTTGGTGGCTCAGGAGTCAAGCCCTTGTCTTGCAATCTGCAGGACCTAGGTTTGAATCCCGCCATGTTCCAATGTGTCTTTCAATTTCTGATTTCCATATGTACATTTATCCAACGTTCTTACGGTGAAGGAAAACATCGTGATGCAACATATGTAAGAAGAAATTCAAAGATATGTGTGAAGTCAACTAACCCGCACTTGGCCAGTGTGGTTGACTATGGCCTAATCACCCCTAACTTAGGGTAGGCTCCAAGCCCCTCGGTGGGGACGTATAGAGAGCTGATGATGATGATGATGATTATCACTGAGTAACATACCGGCTGGACTGATTTTGACAGGACTTGGACGGAAAGGTAGGTGATCCACGCGGGCATGTTATAGATTAATTTTTTTAATTCTACGCGGACAAAGTCGCGTGCGACCGTTAGTTCGTGCATAACTTTTAATTAGCTAATACGCCTACGAAATGAAAAGCGATTCTCCTTAAAGTTAACTTTGTAATTATGTTTGTAAAGTCATTAATTAAGATGCTTTGTTCTTAAATTATTAAATTTAATATGTGTTTTGTTCATTTAGTTTTTGAGAGAAATTACAGGGTTCAAGATTGAGGTTTGAATATTACGTTAGCAAATATTCTAAGTGTGCCTTTGATTAATTATATTTAAGTAATTAATTTAAAAAAAGGCCCAAGTAATCACGTCCTTTATTCAAGTATTTTTAGGGTTCAGTACTTCGAAAGGAAAAAAAAACGGAATCCTTATAGGATCACTTTGTTGTACGTCTTTTGTAATACAAACTAACGAAAACAGTACTGTAATGTACAGTAATGTAGACGAACAAAAATATCTTTCTTAACTCTATGTGAAATGCATACTGTTGCTTTTAATCGCTTTTTATTTCTACATTTCGTTCACAATTCCCACAGCTTTTAGTCTGTATGCAGAGCACAAAGTCCTTTGTTAATGTGTTTTATGCAAATTTAATTTTAAAATGCTATTCGGTCTAAATGCATTCCTTATCAGCAGTTTAAATTGAGCTGTTCATTTTAAATTGTAATGCAAACTGACACTTAACTTTTATTGCAGATACTTTTAGCAGCGTATATTCCTTTATTACAAAACAAGTATTCACGCGCGGCTCCGTCCGCGAGGAATAAAAATACTTAATAAGTAACTTAACAGTTACGACTTAGGGGCCTTCAAGAAAAGAGCGTACACCTTCCTTAAAGGCCGGCAACGCATCTGCGGTTCCTCTGCCGTTGCGGATGTCCACGGGATCGGATTAAATAATATTAGGCGATTCGTTGCTCGTTTGCCCCCTTCTCTTATAAAAAAAGTATTCAATGTGTTCTTCCAGACTATGTTTTACGTCTGTGCCATATTTCATTAGAATCCGTTGAGCCACTCCGAAGATATCGTTTAACAAACCATCCATCCATCCAACATTCGCATTTAAAATATTAGTAAGATTTACAAAGCTTCATAAACTTGTATATACAACTACGGTTTCAATACTATTTCGTGGTTTCTCTAGTGTATAATATTTTGGTTGATTACAAATTTTAATTTACAAAATTCTATTCGTTTTGTCAGTATTTCCCTAGCAGGCAAACTTATGCGATATGACACCGCTTTCGCTACTGAATAATACACGCTGACGTAACCAGGAACCGTTTACTTTCGCTGTTCCATATACGGTCTCATCGTGAATCACGTACTAATACGTACGTATTCATAACACGTGACAAGTGTCTTCATATTATGAATACATTTTTATACAAGCTTTCTTGTGTCAAAACTAGCTGTCCAGCTACTCTAGCTATTAAAAAATAACTTAATTAGTGGCCTGTGTTCTTTCGTACTATGATCTATATCTAAGCCAAATTTCAGCGAGATCCATGCTGCTGTTCTGAACTTATCTTCTAATAAACATCCTTCCTTAAATATATCCAAACATTCGCATTTATAATATTAATAAGATGAAGAACAAAGACCATTCTAATGTACTTATAATTCCGATAATTCAATATATAGATAAATTTAAAACGGAGTAAAACAATATTCATGGAATGATTACTCAAAGACTACGGTAAGGTAAATTGAAACCTGAGGTGTTTAGTCGCTAAGCGACTTACACAATACAATATCATAGAGATTGGTATAAAACGCACGTCGCCGACATTTCTATTTGTCATAGTCAGACAAGACAGTCGCACCATGGTTGTCAAGTTTGCTATTAGAATAGTCGCTGCAATTTTCAAGATGGCAGAGCAAATCTATACAGTTGACACGGTGTCGCTATTTCCTCGCGCAACGAGATTCTCGCAACGCCAAATAATATTACTTATGACGATTTATGTTGCTTTGTGTACGAAGGGTCTTAGTGCTACAACACCCTGTTCCTTTTGAATACAGCTATTGTACTTACATATCTTTTGAGGATATAAAATATGACGTAATCTTTGCATATACTATGTAATAAAGTCAACAAATATTATAAATGAGTGTAGATACACCTACGCGGCGGATTGTCTTGCATATGAATAACAACATTATGCAGATACATGAATACAATTTGGATATTAACTGTGTTCTTCCATGCATTCCACTTCCTTTATTACTCTTTCTCATATCCGTATATTAAATATTTTGTACAGTCAGCTGCATTAATATATATACACTTGTATTGCTCTTGACTCCGTCCGCGAGGAATTAAAAATAACTAAAAAACCTATGTGTTTTTCCAGACTATGTTCTACATCTGTGCCAGATTTTATT